TTTTTACAGCAGTCAGCATTGGTTGCGAGCAAGTTGTATGGGTTGTAAGCGGTGATTTTGGAAAAGGATAAATTGTAAGAGACGTGGAAGCTAAAGGATAGGCCATGACAACTGCGAGAATCCGCAATTTCTTCACCAAAATCGCTATCTACTTATTAGGAGACCAGCTGGCCGAGCGATCATCTATTCATTTGGATAACAGCAGGACACAGGGCGACCGCGCCTGATGTGCAAATTACCGTATGTTGCATTCATAGTACAGGCATTCAACGTTTTGAGTGACGCAGGCGTCGGCGCGCGGTACCATGAACGCATCATTCAAAAGTCATAATCACAGGCTGCCACAAAATTGTATTTTAGTGTTACGCTGGAATTAATTTTTCCTTTACCTCAACACGACACGAAGCAAACTATGTAAAGAATGGGTTCTGTGATACTCAACAAAATAAGCTCGCAGTAGGTCGGGAGTTAGGTTACAAACAGGTTTCGAAATGAACACTGTTCGATATCACCATATGACTCATTGTCATCCGAATAGTCAAACTTGTTTAGAGACAGCGACAGTCAGGTGGTACTAAAGTTGCAGATTATCATTCAGTTAAATGGCTATTATTTAAGTAAACTTATAGGAAACAATGGATTAAGCAAACTATGTAAGGCTCAAGGAAAATGGCTAGGTTTGAAGCCAATTTCAAGCCCTTTTCAAGCAAAACTTCTTGAATCTCCCCTTTATTGTTGATTTACTATGTAGCGCCAGCCATGGGTCTCCACATGTTTTCAAGTTTTGAACTCATTATCAGTGAAAACAAATCGAATAGGTTAGGGAGTTCTCAGCAGTGGGGAGGATAGATTGAAGGGTGCCACTGAAGCCGCCAGTTCTCATTCTCAGTTGATAGTAGGCCAATTAACAAGCATCCAGGTCACTGTCACACGGTCACAATCGCTCTCAACCGATTTTAACGTCCTGGATGGGCGTTTTCTGAAAACTATTCTGATAGCAAAGGGATTTTTGAATATTGAAAACACAAGCCTAAGAATAACCGTCATTAAGGCGAAGGGCACTGCAAGTGTGTTTCAAACTTTCGAGAGCCCAGGCTTACTTCTTATGGTAAGGCTATCGAGCTATGCGTGCACAGCTCATAACTCATCCAATGACAAATTGCCCGAGCTCTCCAAACATCGCCTCCGACCCACAGAGCGTTCGACTTCTCCGTTGCTCACTATTTGCCTTGTTTGGTATTAACTACAACTGAACTAACAGCGTTATATACGATGAATTCCCACTCAAATAGACCTGCAAACCCGTTTTTTACCATAATTGTGACCCTAAATCACTCGAATTCATTCTAATCGGGAAGGGTGCTCAACGGATGATCCGCATGTACATCTCATGCATTACTTTGTCAAAGCATATATGTAAGGTTACCGCAGAATCCAAAGGATTTCGTGAAAATCTGGTGAGGTCAAAGTACGAGCTGCGCAATCAGCTGATATTCTTCGTAGAACTAGTACTGCTCTCGTCAGGCTACTGACTGGAAAGTGATCTCCCGAAAACGGAATCATCAATAAGATTAAACATTTGGACAACCTGAGCAGGATTCAAGAATATGCTGGGAGGAAACGGGGGTGAAAAAACTGGTAAGCACAGCACCAAGATCGTTGGAGGCCACCCTGCACAATCGGCGCCGCTGCCCGATTCACTCTGCGTCTCTGACTGCGCGACTGTCTCTGCTGTCTGATTCTGACCGGTGGCGGGGTTCTCCCCAATCTAGCAGTAGTCACAGACCACAGGCTGCTCTTTCCGGATGCCATTATCAGCTGCTAGTAGTGGTGTTATCAGTAGTATGTTTCGTTGACACTTCTTTCAAAGTCTATTTTTCAACATGAGGGTTCGTTCAGATCGGTTCCGTTGGGATTTATTCGGTTTTCATTCAGTTCATGGCGATTCTCATATGATTTTGATTTGTTCTTTCCTAGCCACGAACGCACAAGTTATTACTTCATGTAAATTTGATGGATTCATTCGACAAAACGAGTTCTTTCTTCGAGAGAATCAGTTTTTCTTAACTTTAATGATAGGACGATGTCTTGGAAATCCTTTGTTTGAGTACGATCCTGGCAAAACCTACGCAAACTATTATTTGTTTAATAGTGTATTCTGGATACTCACGTATCTACACACGCAGTCATCACAAAAGGAAGCGCATTAGCGAAAAACAACAGCTTAGAGGTCGTGAGAAAGAAAACCCGAAGAAAGCGAAGCTTGTATTAAAGTCGCATTAGACGCGATTCGGTCTAGCAAATACAAGGAATTTAATTAAATAATGTTTTACCGAGTCTGAATAACAGCAAACTTCAACGGTAGAGACTCTTCTATGATGTTAACAAAGAGGCTAAGGCCGGGTCTGCTCAACAAACCTTCGTCAAATTTGTTATTC